CTTTGATCATCTCACTATAGTTCTGAATAACATTTACGTCCATGTTTTTGTGTTTCAGATGAAATTTATTAGCTGTAGACAAGTTAGATTTCTAGATACAACTGCATTTGGCTGATTGCAACCTGGATAGAAGGGTCAATCAAAAGTGGGTTGGTTTTATTCATTTGTTTTGTAACAGCAATGCCTGAGTTCCTTCTATTCCAGGCACTGTAAAGTCACAATATGATTCTTGTCTTAAAGAGGTTATATTTGAAATAAGAGGTACAGAAAATGAGAAAAATATATATAGCATGCATCCCCAGAGTGACTGGAGAAACTACAGACTTCGTGTTCATCATATTTTAAAATTAGGATGGATTGTTAATAGTGCAACAGATTAACTGAAGGGAAGGGAAATTATTATTTTAGCATTTTTCTCTGGTTAAGGTATTTTACATTTTTACATTTGTTTGTTATCTATACATGTTATAGCAATATAACTAAAACATTGAGGCTTACTTTATTTTTCAAATTTATGTCAGCTACTTTACCCTTCTGAAATCCCTGCTACAGAGGTCTTCCTACTTTCTCAGTATCCTTTTTGGCTGCTTGTTCATCATTATAATACTTGGTTTGTTTGTACTTCCTTATGCTATTCTTTCATTTGAAATATTACACCTATAACCTGTTTAGTGGAAGATTAGATGACACAAACATGATGCTCATGAGCCAACAAAAATGCTTAAGCACATTATAACTTTAAAACTGTTTCAGTTACCTGAACAGTGAAAAGCAGCTATAATAAGATTGAGAGTTTGGCACGGTGCCTGCAAGTCAGGAACTAGAGCTCAGGGATTATGTTTTGTGATCTCCCTTCTAATTTTACTTTCTCCCTTTGTTGCGGAGACAGAAAACCCCCCAACCAAAACCCAAAACCCACCACCAATGACAAAAATTAACTTGGCAGCATTCAGGCTGTGACCGGAGTCTACCTGATATTCTTCCTATAAAAGTATTAGGTTTTAGAGATCTAATGGCACAGCACTAACTTCTCTTCTAGAGAAAGGTTATTTAAACAGATCATCAAAGGACATAATCAAGATATGTGATTGGAGAAGAGGGGAAAAAAGGCCAAACACTCTCAGGAATTAAACCAGAAATGACACAGAGATTATGAACTGTGGAGAAGTCTGGTGAAATGCACAAGAACCAATGGCACCGTAACTATTTTTGGTGTCTCACTTCATTCAGTGCAATATACTGACATTTCTTAATTGATTTTTTACTTTTATAGGAATAGATACATTGAGACTATATTATTACATAAAACATTTTTCTGTGCTTAGTTTTTACACTATTGTTTTGGTTTGATTTGTTCTAAATCAGAGAAAAATGAAGAAAAATATAACTTTCATACTTTGTATTGAAAAAAGTAGGAAGTTTTTCCTGGATTTCTGAAAGTGGTTCTTATAGTACTATATTGTGGCATATACACCTATTTCATTTTCTCTAAATTATTATATTAAAAAGAAAATATGTGAAAAAAATATTTTTAGGCAATAATTTTGAGTACTTTGTATTTATTAATTTGCAACATATTCAGTATAAGCTATGGCTTGTAACATGTTTTAACTGGATTTTAAAATGAGGGTCCATTTTATCTAGGATAAGATTTTATACACCTTGTACATGAAATGTTTTAACAAATTTCTACCTATCATGAATTATTGAATTTAAAAACTCCACAAATACCAATCATGCATTGCCCTCTGCAAGCAGGTTTTTTTATGTATTCTCAGGAATACAAAATAAATATTATCTAGCCTACTTTATAAAAAAACCCTTTAATTAGAGGATGCACTTTGCTGGATCTGCTTCTGACAAATCTAGAAAAAATAAATGACCTGTGAAATCTGATGGCTGCAGTGACCATGAGACAATGTAATTTAAGACAACAGATCCTAAGAGAAGTTGGGAAAATGAATAGAAAATTACAGCCTTGGATGTCAGAAGTGACTCCTAATTGAAGTCAAATGCAAAAAGGGAGTATACAGAAGGTGAAAGCAGGGATGAATGACCTGGGAGAAATACAGAGACATTGCATCAACATGCAAAAATGGAATTAGGGAGGCCCAAAGGTCAGGTGCAGATGAAGTTAGCAAGGGATGTGATGGGAAAGCAGGGTTTCTGTAATTACCTTGGCAGAAAAAGGAAAACTATGAAAAACTTTTGTCCACTGCTCAATAAAACTGTCTTTGGCTCAGTCTTTTTAATTCTTTTTTTAGCATGGTCTGCTTTCAGGCCTCCCACGTTCCTGTGCCTAGTGGCAGGATCTGCAGGATATCACTCACAATAGAGGAAGATGTACTTAGGCTGCAGTTAAGTGAAATGGACATACATAAGTTCTTGGGACCAGACAGGGTGTGTTCAGTGAGCAACGGTTGAAAGAGCTCAACAATATTACTGTAAGGCCATTCTCTCATCTTTAACAGATCATGATAATTGCAGGAGGTTTCTGAAGACCGAAATATCAATTTCCATGTCCATCCTCAAGAAGGAAGATGTGGGTAACTATAGACTGGTTTGCCTCACAAGAAGACCATGGAGCAAATCTGCTTAGCAGCCAAATTCTGGATCACTAAAGACAGTGAGGATAATAAAAAACTGGAACAGGCTGCCAAGTGAGGACCCTGCACAAGTTTAAAAACTAACTGGGCATGACCCTCAATGGCCCTCCTTTGATGACCCTCAATGGCCTAATCTAACCTTGTTTTTGACCCTGCTTTGAGCAGAGGGAGTTGAATCAGACTCTAGAAGGTCTTTTCCAAATTAAATTATATTACAAGATTGTAACAGGTTAGTAAAAATAAACAGCTGAAATGACAAATGTGAAATTAAAGCTACTACTGAAAGGTGGACACACAAATATGAACAGCTGTCTTAAAAATAGTGGGGAAAATGAACCAAACTAATAAAAACCCCTTGCAGTTTCCTCTGTTTCATTCTCTACAAACTATGCAGTTTACCAAAATATTCAAAACAGGCAAAAAATATAATGGTAAAAAATGTATCATCTTTTATATCATCCACATTAAACAGGGCAAATTATACCAACTGTGAAATATTTCTATGTTCCTAATAAGGGTTTTTTTCTGTCAGTTTAAGAATGTAGATTCAGACATTGCTTTTTTTTTTTTTTTTACAACTGTGCTGAAATATGTGAAAAGCAAAAATAGGCCAAGTAACTGCAAGAGGGAACAACAAAATTCTCATTATTTCTGAAAAAAATCTTTTTATTTGATTTCAGTAATGTATAGGGATGTAAAATTGGACACAGATTGGAAGGCCTTAGGTTATTATCCCTCCAGTTTTCTTTTTGATGGGATGCACCTTAAGGCAAACCTTGCAGCCTTGTAACACTGTAAATGCAGATGGACAGAAGGACTGAAGTTTTATATTATTCCCTCTGTACTTGATATACCCATAAAGGAATGATCTTGGTGATTTAGATAAAAATGGCATCAGACCACAGCTACCAGGGGTGCATAAAGTGCCAGATGCATAATACATTTAACAGTGGCAAAAAGCCTGGAACACAGGAGTTGTGTCAGTTGCCAGATTAGTGGGTAGATATTACGGGGGACTTAGCTGGCATCTGGGAACCTAAATATATGAAAGCAGGGGAGGAACACTAAAAATGGCAGCTCTTAGAAGACAGGAGAGTAGAAACAAAGTCTTAAGAATTAAAAATGCTGAAGAAAGAGGGGAAAGATTTCTACATTTATTACAGCAACTAATCTGAAATCAAGCGGACTCTGTTTCACACGTACTGCAAACTACCTAGATCATTCTGTTACTGCTTGTTAAGTGGAGTTATTTTCTCATTTATTACAAGTATTGGGGCAATTTAAATATTTTAATTAAAGTTTCTCTCTGGTTTTATTGTTTAGTATTTGAACAATTGCTTTGGCTTTGCAGTCTTGCATACTACACCTTTTAAAATTATTATTACGGGAGTTGGAATATAGAATATCCAACTTTTTTGTAAAGCAGAAAAAGAATAGTCTCTGTGTCCATCTTCACTTGGGCAGAAGGAAATTTTTAAAGGTTCAAATTGCCATTGTATTCCTCTACACCAGAAAGTTAATTTATGAATTCAGAAATACATCAACTGTTTTTCAGTTTTCCTGCTGGGGAACCATAGTCCTGTTCTGAATTTGGCACCTCAGCAGAGAAACTAGGGCACAAGCAGGGAATAGGTCACCCTTAGTTTGCAACCTTATATAGAGTACAAATGCGAAACCACCTGCTAACTTGGAAACTCAGAAGTATTCTCTGTATTTTATCTAAACTCTAGGACTGGATTTATATTTGGATGCACTAAATCAAAGGCTATAGCTAAGATTAAAATCACAATGAAGAATAACTATTTTAAGCTCTAAATACAATCCAAAACCAAGCACTGTTTCATATATACTGGCTGCTTTAATAACAGATATTCTTATAGAATTTTAAAAATTATACTGTCATTAAAATTTGTATAATTGTAATTACAAGTAATTAAGATTCTTTCAATTCATTCATAGGAACAGTTTATGGGAAATCAGTGTTTAGTATTATTCTACTATAAGTGTCTGAGAGACTCTGTATGACAGACTTACCAGAGTATCATGATCTTAAGCTAAAAGTGATGCTCTGTTCAGTGTAGCTGTATAGCATCTCATTTCACAAATTTCCATTTTCCTCATATACGAACAGCATCACAGCAGGAAAAAATGTTTGGCACACTCACAGTAAAAAGCTTGTTAGTTGAGTGCTACTTGAACTTTTGAAATCTGTACAAAAAAACCTACCTTCAAAGGCCCAACCTTCAAATACCACCTTTTGCAGCCACTTACATTTGTGATGTTTAAAGCAAGAGGGAAGCAGGCATAAGGGGACACAGAAAACACAGTTCTAAGAAATAAGCATACACAAAACATTTACTTTTGTGTTTTCAATATCTTATGCTTATGTCTCACCTATGTGCAGGTATCTTGCGATTCCCAGCAATCAGGATAACGTCACAGAGCTGCTGTTGCTTCAGGTAGCTCTCCATCTTCCTGAAGGTTTGCTCTGCATGGTGAACAGCCTGGTAGAATTCCTCGGAGCTGCATGAATCCATGTCACAGTGGGGTGGCAAGGAGCTGCTGGCTGCTGACAGTCTGTAAACCACAAGAAAAACTCCATGTTGATAAGATGTGAACAGTTGTCTAGAAGACTTCATCACAGGCTTCTAATATGTGAGATAAGTAATCAGTTGTCCTGGTTTCGGCTGGGATAGAGTTAATTTTCTTCATAGTAGCTAGCATAGTGCTGTGTTTTGGATTTAGTACCAGAAGAATGTTGATAACACACTGATGTTTTTAGTTGTTGCCAAGTAGTGCTCAGACTACTCAAGGACTTTTTGAGCTTCTCCTGCTTGGCCAAGTGCATAACAAGCTGGGAGGGAGCACAGCTAGGACAGCTAACCCAAACTGACCAAAGGGCTATTCCATACCATATAACGTCATGCTCAGGGGGAGTTAGTCAGTGGTTTGCGGGGAGAGTGATCATGGTTCGGGGAGTGATCGCTGCTCGGGACAGGCTGAGCATCGGTCGGCGGGGGGGGAGCAATTGCGTTGTGCCTCATTCGTTTTGTATATTCTGTATATTCTGTTACCATTCTCATTATTACTTTTATTATTATTTTCTCTTATTAAACTGTCTCTATCTCATCCCACAGATCTAACTTTTTTTTTCTTCCCGATTCTCTCCCCCATCCCACTGAGGGAGGGGGGGAGTGAGAGAGCGGCGGCGTGGTGCTTTGTTGCCAACCGGGTTAAACCATGACATCAGTGCATCCTTCCCAGTTCTCATAACTAGAAATACAAGGTGGAAAAATCTTACTGCATTGTGAGGGACAACTTAAATTGTAAGTCTTTTAAAATTGATACGATTTTTTTTAGCACAGACATGGAGCTAATCCATTTGTTGCTTCTTTGATAGTTATTAAAAATATAAATATGAACAACAAATAGAAATTCAGTATATTCATGTTAAGATTAGTAGCATAGTTATGTCTTCATTACTAAACTATGATTGGGCTCTTCAGGGTTTTTTTTGATTTTAGAGCAAAATTATTTTACAGAATTAAACAAGATATGTATTTTTTCTTAAGTATTAATATGAACATGTAGGATGCAAGAAGTGCAGAAGCCGAATGGGCAGTAACCACAAGGAGGAGCAAGAGGAGGAGCAAGAGGATGAGCAAGAGGACGTCACCGTGACCACACAGTGATTGGCAGGACTAGGATGCGGCTTTGCTAGAAAGTTTAGGGCTCCAAAATAAACTGCGTCACTTGGAGCATCCATACTGTGTATGCTGTGTTTCCTTGACCTGCAGACGGCAGGGTGTCTGCGTGATCCTTCGAGTAACCTTAAAGTTGATACAAGAACCAACAAGAACACACAAAATAAAGAAATAATGGAAAAAGCAATCCTATCTTTCTGCTGATTCTAAGAGGGCCTACTCTAGTTCACTTCAAATTCACATGCATTTTACACTACCTGGGAAAGAAAAATAAAACTCTAATTGACTTAATTTGTAATAAATTGGGAATATTTCCACAATGATAAACTGCATACCTACTTTTTAACCAAAAGGCTTATTAATACAAAGTGCATTTAGCCTATAAAGATAATGATGTCTAAAATTCAAAAAATCAGAAAAAAAAAAGCAACAGGAGAAAAATGCAAATTTATATATATATATACACATATGTTCTTAGTTCAGATTTATTCAGTTCAGTATTTCTGGTTCAGACCGTCACTGAAAATAAGAAAATGTGTCAGCAAGTACTAGCCCTTGAAAAAAATAATGCTAGTACTTCCAAATAATTCACAACACAGACAATACCCTCTTCTTTTACAAATATGTAATGAGATTGTTTCAAATTAAAGCCATAAGATTTTATATATCTTGTGGTGCTGAAAATGAAGAATTTAATAGATGATGCTGATTATATTTTTTACTTCAACTAGTTATATACAAAACATCTTACATAATCAATAGACGATCAGAGGGCATATTTTAGTCCAGTATATCAAATTATATTATCAATTAATTCAAACCAATCTAATTTGATACATATTCTATTGAAAAATAAATATTAAGGAGCACATAAATAATTTTTATAATTTACAGTAATAATACAACAGTTTCATTATATAAGATTTGAATTCAGTAGGTACTATCTTCTAAGAGTGATATTGATAGACCTATAACATAACACAATCTGCATTCCTGGTGCTGGAAAAAATTGAAAAGTGAGTAAAGATAATAATAATAAAAAAATAACCTATTAAAATGAAATACTGTTATCTTAGAGAAAAAAAACCCAAACTTTGGTATTTTTATTGACTCTCAGTAGACCATAATATAGTTCAGAAAAGTAGTATTTCCTTTTGACATATACTAGCGATTTACTTTTGAATTAGTTTTTGTCTGAAAGTGTTCCACTTACTCTCCTACAGTCATTGTACAAGGGTCCACAGGGGAAAGGAGGAAAGGCTGGTCCATCTTTCTGTCACTGTAATTGCTAGGCTTCAAAACATTCCTTTAAAGTAGCTGGAAGCCTGCATACTTGAGGGCGGCCTGCAGATAATTTTACAGAGAACTAACTCAGTTACCTTTGTATCTCAGTCCACTATCTATTCTGTGCCATATACAGGTACTTACTTATTAGAATGTGATGAGTTACCTTTAAAATTATTACCTACAGTAACTTCACTTGAATAGCATTAAATTGGATCCTAAGAAATAATCAGCTGGTTTACATTAATCAATATTGCCATTTATATGCTGGTGATCTTACAATATGTGTGAGCCTGCCTATAGGAAATCGAACTGGCAAAACTTTATTAACCATAATTCCTCAACAGAAACAGTTACGAATTGGTAATTTTAAAAGGAACATTTTTTTTAATTATCTTATAGTAAATGTTGTTATACAGTCAAGTAGTTTATGTTAGATACCTCTTGAGAACTCCTCCTAAAGACAAAAAAAACCATATTCATTCAGTGAGTAACATAATCTGCTTCTGTGTTCCTATCCAATCTGGACTGCCAAATAAGTTGATCAGAAATCTAAGTTTATTTTCATATCTTTGGATGTATAAGTACTTTCACATAGTTCTGTAATGATGGAACTAAGCTCATTAGTATGGGTAGTGAGTAGATATTTCAGCTTTTTTCTCTTTTTTCCTCTCAGTTTGATTATAGCCCTATGCACACTTCTTCACTTTTATTGCTGAAGAATTAGAATGACAAGTAATTTACAAGAAATAAATCAGTGCCTAATAAACAAGGTTGCTAGGGTTAAACAGACACATTTCCTCCTTTCCTTTGGGGAATTCAGAAGTGACAACAACAGCCATTCTGAGACATGAAAATAACAGGAATGGGCAGGTCTGAATGGGTTCATATTGTTTGTTAATTCAGAACTTAGGTCTAAGTCAGTTTACATTTGAACAGATAAGGTACTAATCCTGCCTCTTCTTGGCTATTAAAAACATGCTGCACTTTTCAGGTTAGAAAAATAGAAGTACCCTGACTGAATTTATGCTAGTTCTACAAAGTTAGATTGGGTTGAAATGAGGTTAGTCAATTTTTCTTAAATAACTAGACAGTGTTTGCTACAAATCTTGGCATCTTTCCTGCTTGCCATTTATTGGCAATGCTTTCCACCCTCAAACTCATCAGTATATCTTGTCACTTAGCAAGTCATTAAATTACTACTCAAACGCAAGCCCTGGAGGCCCAGCATATTTTAAATTATTATCCTGAAAACTGGCAAGTAACAAGCTTAGTAGAAGACAATAAATTAATCTTTTATTTATTTTCTAAGAAAGCCCAGATAAAAAGCCTGCTACTTATCCTATTCAGGAGCTACCTCGTTTTTGTTACAAATGCTCTGTCTGCATAATCTATGCTTTAAATTCAGTCAGCAGCTTGTTAAAATAGGAATTAGTTAAAAGAGCTTCAGCTGGTAAATACCAGTTATTTTCTACCCGTTCATGAAAGGCATGTATAGGTACTTAGGACCAATTAGCAAAATGAAAATAACACTTTCTGCTTGCAGATATTGTTTTTATTTAGGTGCAGGCAATCTGAACCACATATGCAGTGAGATGCTTGTTGAGTGCATTCTGCAGGAACTCCAGCACAAATTCACCTGAAGATTCCTGGAGTCTTTCAAAACCCTTTTTAGTACTTGTGTACCTCAAAATCCTGTAATCAGTGAACAGGACAGATTCCAGATGGGCTTTTTCCATAATCTTTCTCAGTTGGCAAGCGCAAAACCTGAATTTACTGTCGGAATTTCAAATGTTCAGGGATTGTTCAGACTAGAACATTTTTTATATTTAAACAACTTAAATAAAGAGAAATAAGGAAACCAAACCTTTCACAAGATTACAGCAATGATACTGAAGAGTGATACTACAGGATGAGAAAACTAAAAGGCTCAAAAAAACCCTATTTGACATTGCAAATAACCAATAATCTCAAATGTTACTTTACAAAATGGCAAACCAGAGTGCATATCAAAGAAAACAAAACAAAATGAAACAAAACAAATCTACCCCAGCAACTTTGTACAATCTAATTCTCAGTATTAAGGACACCACGCTGTCCTCAAAAGATAAATGTTTTAAGATGACCCCAAAAGTGCTGATGAGAAAATTCAGCCTTAGAACCTTTATGGATCTTAAAACAGTGTGAACAGAAATAAAAGCTTAACTTTGAGGATCTACAACAGCTGACTCCACAGTACTTCTCTTTTCCTAGAAAAAGCACTTTGATTTGAACAAGGGTGATATTCTCTAATCACCTTTTACCTGTTCCTAACTTATTTGAAAAACAGGTAAAACAGCAATAAAATCCCAGTAAAGTTGCTTGTATGGATTATTGCCTCCATTTAATAATCCTTTAAGTACTTACGTTAGCTCACTGTGAGTAAGAAGAAGGAACTTTGGCGAAAGGTCTCCTAGGGACAACTTTATGACCTTCAGCCAATTTTTGTACAAAATCAGATTTATTCAAATATGTAGTGGGTTTGTGTTGTAAGACAAGCACAGATTAATCTTCAGAAGATATTTTGGGTAGGTCAGTTAGTAACATACAGTTATGTAGATATCTAATCTGCTGTCTCCTGTACCTTGCACAGTTGT